TTTGGTACCAGGGATTGAACTCGGGTCCTTGTGCTTGCAAGGCAGGCCACCGAACCGCTGAGCTAAATCCCCGGCCCAAAAAAATATGGAACGCTTCACAAATTTGCGGGTCATCCTTGCACAGGGGCCATGCTAATCTTCTCTATATAATTCCAATTTTAGTATGTGTGCTGCCGAAGCAAGCACACTTTCATTCTTTTTATGTACTAGTTCAAGATTTTTTTAAAACTGTCTTTAAATGTATTTTTAAATTTTTATCTCAGCTTTCCTTATTTTTACATTTCAAATGTTACATGTTATGAAGCCCAGAGCTGACATTTCATAATTCTCAATTTAACTATTTTCCATTTCTTACAACTTTGTTGGAAGCTTCTAAGTTTTGTTTCAATTTTCTAATTAATTATAAGCTAAGACCAATCCTGTCTTATTACACTGCTACCTAATTGTTCCTGGAAAATGTCTATTCCCACCTAGGAATCTTGATAATATAGTTCAAGTTTAGGGTAGATTCTTTTTTTGTACCAGGGATTGAACTTGGGACATTGCACTTGTAAGACAGGAAGCAGAACAACTGAACTAAATGCCCAGCCCTGGATTCACTTTTGTATATTTCAGTGGTAAGGAAGATGTCATCTGAATCTATAATTTAAAACCATTTTTTTCTATTCCATTTGTTCAGTGCTTGCTTTGGGAACACATATACTAATCTACTAGTTTAACTTATTGTTCAGACAGGAATCAAAATAAAATCCTCAGCGAATTATTGATCTAAAAATTTTAGTACAAAATACATTGGATGCTAACTTTCTGAAATTTAATGGCTTTTTAAATGTGTTAACTATGAAGCAACTGCTATACTAAATAATTTAGGCAATTTTGCTAGTAAACATTATTCAAATACTGTACGTCAAGAGCTGAAGGCAGGGAGAGGGAAAGAAAGAAGGATAGATGCAGGATTTCTTAGAAGTTTCTGCCTGAAGGAAGGACATGTTTCCTGAAGGAATGAAGGGCACAACTCTGAACACAATTAACCCTGAGATACCAACAGCTCAGTCTGGATAAACCTATGTTAAGAGACTTTTTAAGCATTTTACTTGCTTTTTCTAAATTTCTATTT